ATTGCATTTCCCTGAACAACTTAAACTGCTCTCTAAATGGCTGTTAGACAGTGTGCATTTAATATGCTGTGGACCGAGAACCGGATTTCAAGAATTGCTGTTGCATTACATTTGGCTCATAATGTTGCCACGACAACCCATCTGCTTCTATTAAACACATATTTCCCTCTATCATATTTTATATCTCAACTCGTTATATATATATATATATAATCTAAATCTACAGTACATATGTATTCATGTATTTTACATGTGACTTTGCCCCTACCTTCCCTTCATACGATTACATTTCTAGGCTGTTTTGAGTGTCAGGTTTATTTTTAATGTTCCAGTGCTCTCTCACTGAAAAGCATTTTCTATATTTAATAAATAGCACACTGCTAGCAAAAACACTGACAGATGGGACACGGGCTGACAAGATTTGCAGACAGTACATGTTGTAGCATGTGTTTCTATTTCTAAGGCATGGCCTCCACGTTAACCAGACCTCTGTTTACCTAATTCAAATCTCTTGACAAAACTTGATGATAATAATGTTTGGCCAAGCATTTAACTAATAAATACATTTTAGAAATGATTTTTAATATACACTCACCTAAAAAATTATTAGGACACCTGTTCACATGGCAGCCAATCACATGGCAGTTGCTTCAATGCATTTAGGGGTGTGGTCCTGGTCAAGACAATCTCCTGAACTCCAAACTGAATGTCAGAATGGGAAAGGAAGGTGATTTAGGCCATTTTGAGCGTGGCATGGTTGTTGGTGCCAGACGGGCCGGTCTGAGTATTTCACAATCTGCTCAGTTACTGAGATTTTCACGCACAACCATTTCTAGGGTTTACAAAGAATTGTGTGAAAAGGGAAAAACATCCAGTATGCGGCAGTCCTGTGGCCGACTGATTCAAGCTGATAGAAGAGCAACTTTGACTGAAATAACCACTCGTTACAACCGAGGTATGCAGCAAAGCATTTGTGAAGCCACAACACACACGACCTTGAGGCGGATGGGCTACAAGACCAGAAGACCCCACCGGGTACCACTCATCTCCACTACAATTAGGAAAAATAGGCTACAATTTGCAAGTGCTCACCAAAATTGGACTGTTGAAGACTGGAAAAAATGTTGCCTGGTCTGAGTCTCAATTTCTGTTGAGACATTCAGATGGTAGAGTCAGAATTTGGCGTAAACAGAATGAGAACATGGATCCATCATGCCTTGTTATCACTGTGCAGGCTGGTGTTGGTGGTGTAATGGTGTGGGGGATTGGTGTGTTTTCTTGGCACACTTTAGCCCCCTTTGTACCAATTGGGCATCGTTTAAATGGCACGGCCTACCTGAGCATTGTTTCTGACCATGTTCATCCCTTTATGGCCACGATGTACCCATCCTCTGATGGCTACTTCCAGCAGGATAATGCACCATGCCTCAAAACTCGAATCATTTTAAAATTGGTTTTTTGAACATGACAATGAGTTCCCTGTATTAAAATTGTCCCCACAGTCACCAGATCTCAACCCAATTGAGCATCTTTGGGATGTGGTGGAACAGGAGCTTCATGCCCTGGATGTGCATCACCACAAATCTCCATCAACTGCAAGATGCTATCCTATCAATATGGGCCAACATTTCTGAAGAATGCTTTCAGCACCTTGTTGAATCAATGTCACATAGAATTAAGGCAGTTCTGAAGGCAAATAGGGGTTAAACACAGTATTAGTATGGTGTTCCTAATAACCCTTTAGGTGATTTTGATTTCACATTAACTATAGTTTTAAATTAGAATAAATAAATGTCTAGTCCATCCTACTTTGTCTGTTCTCATCGCCCTCTAGTCAACAGAGGGAGCTGCAAAGGATTCATTTCATTTCTTAAGCTGTTCAGAACTTTTCAAGGGTACAATGCAGTCAGGATGAGTTATTGCTGAGAGGAACCACAAACCCTCTCTCTCTCTTTCTCGCTTCTCGCTAATGGAGGAGCAAAGGAGAACAGCACAGGGGCATGTCTAACGGGCTACAGCAGACTCCGTTAACTGGATGTCAGGAGGCTTTACTCTCACCGTCCACTTCAAAAATGGCTGTTGTCACACTACACTCAAACACACCAATCAACATCCATCTACTTTGAGTAAGTGTTGCAGGTCACTTGTAGACATTGCTGATTAAAAAAAAGTGCTGATGGCCACTTTTTACAGAACCACCTTAAAGAGATAGCTCACCCTAAAATGAAAAGTAAGTAATCTTTTACTCACCCTGGCGTGGTTCCATTGCCCTAGGTGCTTCTTTATTTTTCGGTCAACAAAAGGATACATTTTGAAAAAAATGTCCTGCACACGCTCCTCCATCTAATTGTGATGAATGGCAACCAGGCTCAAACTTTACAAAAAGCACATAAAAGTATCACATAAGGATACAATGAGACGTGCGACATATATAAAATGTGTTCAGGGGGCATAGGGTTTTTTGCGAGAAAGAAACCGCATTATTTAGTCAAAATATTGAGCTTGGCTGTTACTTTGTGCATGTTCCTGGGAGTGCGTGTGAGCCGACAGCGGCCTCTCACACATACGATAACTCGCACTGTTGTCATGACAACCAGAATATTCACCTCATGGTACACAACATAGTTATATACCAAAGTCCCTTTAAAGGGTTAGGTTACCCAAAAATGAAAATTCTGTCAGTAATTACTCGCCCTCATGTTGTTCCAACCCAGTAAGACTTTCGTTCATCTTCGTAAAAATATTAAGACATTTTTAATTAAATCTGAGAGCTGGATCACTCCTCAATAGGCTTCTTAAGGGATCGAAACTGGCCGGCCCAAAAGTTATGAAAGACATTGAGTGACTACAGTGGCTTCAATCTTAAGTTTATTTGCGTAGTTTCACTAAGTGAAATGTCGAGGCCTACAGAGAAGGAAATGAATAGTTGAATAAAGTCGTTATTTTTGTTTTGTTTTTTTGCACACAAAAAAATATTCTCTTCGCTTGATAAACCTAAGATTGAGCCACTGAAGTCACTCTGACTATTTAAACGATGGCTTTCATAACTTTTGGGCCGGCCAGTTTCGTCCCTTAAGAAGCATTTGGAGGAGTGATCCTGCTCTCAGATTTAATCAAAAATACTGTATGTAGAGGCCCTCGCGAGCTCTCTCTCCCCTGGTGCGGCCTCGTCCCTGAGGGCTCCGGTCATGCCCTCTTAGCCACGCCAGATGTCATCTAGACTAGTGGGAAAGGCCTACGTGGCAGCAGGTCAGGCTGGTGGAGGCCTATTTACTAGTTTCAGGAGTAAATATATAGCCTAGGCTATAATCTGTGTTTACACAACTTTTTTGAAAATGGTGGGTGCTGGTGTTTTGCGAGCTTTCGGCCATTCAGCGCACACTAACATCACTGGTGGTTTAGACCCGACTCTGAAGTAGGAGCTAAATTAGTTTCTCCGAAAGGTTCCTAGTTCCTGCGGAGCGAATACGCCAAAAAACGTGTACTTACGCAATCTTACCTGTAGGAATGCGCCAATGCTGGGTTCATAATCAGCATTTAAATGTTTCTCAAACACAGCACCTTTGGAACACAGCTGGGAGAGATAAAGGAAAGGACTGATACATTTCGAGAAATATAACTGAATAGATAAAATCTTGCTTTTTGTACATGAGAGTAGGGCTACAGGTTATAATGCTTTCACTTCTGTGACCTGAATCATTCATTGAAACATGCCTGCAATGCACAAAGCCAATAATTTTTTAAGTACTGTCAACTCAACAATAAACTTAAGCTTAATTAAAAGCAAAATATTCTTTTTATTTTCCCACTTAACAACAAAGCATGTATAAATATTCTTCTGATGGCCTTTACCTCATTTAACCTCATGTATTGTGGGACGACAAATCGTATTAATCTCAGAAAAAAAAGAAAGAACACCTGTGACGTTTAAGACTCTGCAGATAAACGCATTAAGAGTCTGGTAATGTGGGATTCAAGGTAACAGCAATAACAGGTCTGAATTATGATTTAAATAGCCTTAGAGCTCCAACAGTTGTAAACATTAATTAAAGCTCTGCTCTGTGCCTCATAATAATATCTTTAATAACCTTTTGTTTAGATGACATAGAGAGCAGCAGAGTCAGGTGTCATTTGATTTAATTATTTTTTAATTTTATTTAATTGTGCATCTGTATTTCTCAATTTTTTTACATTTTGATTAGATCTACCTTTGCTGCCATCTAACGCTTAATTATATCCTTTAATTAATAACACTGTATTCAATTTTAATATTACTTCCCTGGTTCAATAAGACTAAAACTACAGCGAGAGTACAGTGGTATCAGATGGGAATGTTACAGTACTTTGATAAATACCATGGTACTGAATGATTACCTTATAGGGATTTAAGATTCCCGTTAAGATTGGGAATCTTTTGGGGATCTCCTATTTTTTCCCATGGGAATTTATTAAAAATACATTTTTAGTCTGGAAAAAAAAATCCTCAGATGACGCAAAAATCATCATTTTGGGTCATCGGAGGTTTTTTGTGCCAGAGGCTAAAGACTACAGCCAGTATTCCGCATTTTTTCACCATGGCCATTTGGGGCGGGATCTCACTCACAGAATGTATAGATAGTGTCAGCCATCTTTCTGTAGAAGCTAAGCTCTTGCCTCTTGTAGGGCTGTCAACTTTAGTCGTTTAGACGACTAATCAGTCGATACCGTCTTGGTCGACTGACATTCTTGGTCGACCAGTCGCATTTTTTTTTTTTTTTTTTTTTTTTTTTACAAATAGAAAGACATTTTCAATGATTTACTCCTTGATATCTATTCCTTTTTAAGCAGTTATTTATTACTGTATTCTAAGTATAATTAGCCTATGTTTTATCCCCAACTTTAAATGCTTTAAAGGTTCTTTAAGCGATCCTGGGTGTTGACGTTCGGAATATTTTCAAACAAATCGGAGGCTAGCTAGACCCCCCCCCCCCCCCCATTTTGGGTTTACCCCAATACCCCAATTGAAGGAAAACAGTTCATATGCAGAGCTACTAAGCTACTCTGTTGACATTGTCCTGCCTTGTTGTGTTGTATACATTAGGTTATACATCCCAGTACAACGAAATTTACTACCATTTCGATGGAAATTTATCAAATTTCTCACAAAGTATCAAAGCAAGCCTAGATTTATCTATTTTTGGATTCTGCCATCTGTAAACGGTAGGCGTGGTTTGGGAGTGGCCTCGTAAAGGGCAGCAAAGCAAGTGCATTCTGGGAGTTGTTGTCTTTCAGTCACATGAGTAAAATATACATTTTCTGCCTTTTCTCAGTCTAGAATGCTTCAATTTCAAAAATAATTTCACATTTCTATTATATAAATGACCAACATGAAATACTCATTCATCTTCCCAGAGGTGAAGTATCCCTGTAAGATTATGTTTGCAATTAACCCGAACATCCAAGCAGATCCATACAGCAAACAAGACTTCCAAACACCTTAGGTTCCCATAACAGTTCATGTAAATTTTCCAGAATTTTCAGTGTGTTAAATGAACATATGAAGGCCTGTAGGTCGGGAAGCCTGTGGTAAAATTTAAATATCAAGTACCTCTAGTGCAGCAGTGAAACGGCTGGCTGCAGTGGCATAATTCTTCAGTTGGTAGTACGAGTCGGCGTCCTGTAAAGCTACATCGAGCCATTTGTCAATTTGAGGCAGAAAGCTGAGATTAGGTCCACTCGGAGGCCCTCCTATTTCAGCCGCTTGACACATTAATTGTGTGGCGGTGCAGGCCAGGGACTTGTGGGTAATGTCCTGTTCGTCACCGAACACTAACTTTGTCTCAGCCTCCATCAGGTCTCTTAGAGGAATGCGAGGGGGTGCGGAAAGGGGGCTTTGTTTATTATTTGCCCCCGCACAGACGTCCAGCGATCCATTTTTTTTTTCTACTGGTGTCATTCTTCTTGCGCCTCTTTGGGGCACTGCTGTCTGTTCTTTTCTCTTTTCTCTTCTTTTGGCCCTTTTCCTCAGGCTGCTTTGACCGGATGGTGGCAGGCGTTTGGTGTTCTGTGTTCTCGGGGAAAACCGTCTGCTGTAGTCCCTGGAGCCCTGGGCTTCCAGTCGAATTTGCCATGATGTGCCTGAAAGAGATTTCAAATTAATGCCATGATTTTCATGGCTCAAAGCAGTCAAAGAAGCAATCACAGAAAAAAATTTGGGAATAAGGGACACCTGAGACGCAGGACATCCGATTCATATGGGTTACGCCCCATGATTTCAAACAGCCCAGGAAATATGCGTTTTACATCCCAATGAAGGCCTGCTCTCCGCATACAAATAGAGTTCAGACAAGTTCTCAATTCTCCAAGCAGGCTGAAACTTTAATACATTCACTGCTATTATTCTTCTGCAAGAGCGCTGCTGTTAGTGTACTGTTAGAGAAGTCACTTAAATAATGTAGAGGGCCGGGGTGCTGATTCACTGCCGCTCTTGAGATGTGCTTAGGAAAAGGTCACTGTGACATATACACCTGTTGGCAATAGGCCGAGTTCCTGCTTTAAGGGTAGACTGCAAATTCTGCCATCTTTATGTACGTGTGTTACTACAGTGTGGGGATAAAGAGAGTTTTTGGTACAACAGGCCAGAAATAATTTAAGAGATGTGGGCACTAGAGAAGGATTTACTGTAGTGTCACTAGCTGGCAAAAAATAAGTTTATATATGAAATCATTCTTAAGCATACTAACTATTAATGCACCCTGTATATGTGATGCCTTGACTGGAGAAAATAAAGATGACTTCAACTACAGTATTTCAGCATTCAGTAATATATTAATCTTTGATTATGCCAAGTTGGACTCACCTCCTAGTTTTCATGGTGAAATGTGTCCTTTTGAATGCTTAAAGAAGAATAACTTTCTAACGCTGACATCACCACACAACTGTGTGGTCCAATCAGATTAGAGCATCGGGACTGACCGTTATAGAGTGCAACAGTGCCTGCCCACTTTTTTTTTTTTTTTTTTTTTTTAGCTGCTTTGGTTTTGAAAGTATTTTTCCCTTTGGGATTTTGTGTGTTTATTAAGCCATGAATCAAACCTACCAGCAATGAGGTGAATAACACACCACACACTTTGATGTGAAGCAAAAGGAAAAAATGGACAAAAAGACAAAGACTAGACAAGACTGTGTGCTTAACGACAACTACGATCCCCTGAAGCCAATGACATATTGAAATTAAAATGATGGGTAAATTATACATTTATTGATTTAAACATGCTGAGTATGTAGAAACAATATAAACATCCTGCGTAGTATTTTAGCACTTCTGATTCCCTCGCCCTAAAGTCTATGGCTTTTTTGAGTGAGTTTTTTGCTAAATCGCCTGAAATAAGGTCTGTGGTGAAGCCTCTAAATATTTTCACGTTTTGATCTATGACATAAAACAGTTATAACCTACTTGTGTTTTTTTAAACTTTATTGTGTCTGCTTATGTTTTTTTAAACTTTTATATTGGCTTCAAAATGTATAAATTTTGGATTAACTTGTAAAGAACTTGTAAAGACAAATGTGTAAGGGTCCCAACTTGAACACAGATCTTATTTTTTGCAATTTTCCAAAAGTCTATGGGTAAAATGCATAGTTTTTCGATCGAGGGAAGCCATGCGCCGCTGACTTCCGACTTGTCCTACAAAGTGACGTCATAACTTCGGCACTCTATAGAACTTAACCTGCATCTATTAATTATTTATTAATTTATCAAAAGGTTCTTATCCTTAAATTCCTTAAATACTTCTCCATCTTGAACAAATATCGAAGTAGTTTGAAAGTGTAGGGAGACTCTATTGAATCATTCACAGTGCTTCGTGGGAGTGGGTGGAAACTAAATAGTTATTTTGATTTGTTTGTTTGATTTTCTGATAGGTGGAGTATTTATTTTATTTATTTATGTTTTTTTTGAAGAAGAAGAATCATGAGTAAAGTAGTTTTCTACCAGGAATTTCACTACACTCTACAAAGTTTGCACTACAAAGTTTTAACCCAACTTTGGGTCAAATATGGACAAACCCAAATGTTGGGTTAAAAATGTACCGAGTGTAGTAACTGACATTATATGGACTGATGTCAAATATCATTAACAATTAACAACCTTGTACATCACAGTTGGGCTGTTTTTTTTTTTAGGTTTATACTTAATCATTCAAAATCACTTCCTGTGGAGAAAATGAATGAGAAATTCACAACCAGAACATGCTCTCTAACTCATAATAAATTCTGTGCAGTGATTGATTGAAATAATTAGCCAAAGCAACAGTCAGATATGTGTAGTTTGAACATTTGAATCAGTTCTTGCCCAAAAACGGATGCACGCACTGTTTAAAATGAAGCTTGTTATTATGATGTGTGAAGATGGTTGTCAACTTCAGGCATTTCTCATTACTGATAATGCGTTGAATACAACTCTATCTACGATCACTGACAGCTTGTCGACAGATGCGGAGCACTGTCTCAAAGGACAGTTGCTTAAAACGTACATTAATTTATATTACAATGTATAATATATATTACTTGTACAGTTTAGTATACTAATATATTGACATATTTAGGGCCTAATAATTTGCTAGTTCCCTACTGCTGTCTTTACACTTAATTTCTCTCAGCTGCTTAATATGACTCTATGTTTATAGTTTAATGTGATGTCAAAAGTGTCAGGTGTCATGTGTCAAAAGTACAGGTGGTACCAGGTCGATACTAAACAATGATAGTCTTACAGAAGTACCGGTTTTACAGACTCATTTTGTCTCTTGTGCGCTGTCTGATTGATTTCAAATGCTCATTCTATAGCAATAGCAATACTAAAAAAAAAAAACACATTCTTTGTTTGCCAACTTTAATATTAGTTTACTGTACAAATAGTTACTGTTTGCCTGTCTTTTAAATACTTGCAGGCTTCATGCATATTTTTCAATTATTTAATTATATATATATTTTTATTTAATATTGATCTTTTTAATCGTTAAAATAGTTAAAGTAAAAAATTATATAGAGCATGATATTTTTGTACAGACTTTCAGCTGTTTGCAATGAACAAATCAAGCAAAAGCATTTAAAATAGCTCTACGCAACAAATTTTTCAAGTGGTTTCTCCAAATTTAACCGAAAATTTTACTTTTAATGACTTCTGAAGTCTCAAAATTATTCAACCCCCTCTGAATAGATCCCCTCTCAACAGGACAATTTTGCAAAACAGGTGTTGTCTCATGCACACCTGATGCAACTAATCAATGGCTTCATTAGTTGCACCAGGTGTGTTTGAGCTAGAACACATATGCTGCGTCCCAATTCGGATACTATCCGTCCTAAATAGTATTCGAAAATAGAGTTAGTACGTCCCAAATCGTAGTATGTTGAAATGAGTGTTTCAAAGATACCCGGATGGTCTACATTTTCCGGTCTGAATCCGAAGTGTAGATCGATGCACACTCTAACGGCTGATATTGCCCACAAACCATTGCGCGTTGGACGAGGATTCGGTTAGAGAACTACAAACACGAGTAAAAAGTGTTAAAAAACTACAGACACGTAGTCGAAACGGAGGACGCGCGAGTCCCTGCGGTTGTGTAGAGAGGTTTAGATAAAGAGCTTTGAGTGATTAATTATCAGTATGAAACCTGACGAAAATGAATTTATTAAATGTTGTCCACATTATATTGCATTTGGAGCAGCATTGTGAACTTTTGTAAAGACACGTTTAGCCATTACGTTTTAAATGCATCATTATATTCAAATTGCAAACACGAGGAGAGCATGAAAGACCCACAACTGGCAGATGAACGTGCTCTCCGAAACGGTAGGAAATAAAATTAGATAGAATGGAGGATTTTAACTGTGACAAGATGATTGACAGGGCAGTTTACGGTGACAGGATGTACGCAGCACGCGACAGAGCTGTCCGTTAAAGATGACGTGATAGTATGTCCCAAAGCTTGCCTACTCTTTTGCTACACACTCAAAAGTATGTACCTTTTCCTCACAAAAAGAGTACATACTTTTAGGGCGTAGTATAAGTAAGCGAATTGGGACGCAGCAATACAATATCAGAACTGGCTAGGTTTGTTGAGTGTCATATTTGACCGCATGTTAAAAATAAGTCAAAAGAAAGTTCAAAAAGTTAAGAAAAGATGTCATCACCCTTCACAAACAAGGAACAGTATACAAAATAAGCAAAACAACCTAATTGTTCCTAGACACAACATTGGAAGAACAGTTTGCAAGTCCAGAGTTAAACGAACAGTGGTTACACTACCTGGACGGGGCAGAAAAAGGAATCTATCAATGGCTGCAGCCAAATTCATGAGAAGACATCCCACTATAGACCCCAAAACACATTATAGTCCTCAAAATCATTTTAATAAACCACAGAAATTTTGGGGTTCTGTGGAGCGATGAACAGAACTTGTCGGTCCTATGGTTCAGCGGGATGCCTGGAGAAAGAATGAAGTACATGCTGAAAAGAACACTCTGCTTACAGTTACGCATGGTAGGGCTCGGTGATGCTCTGAAGCTGCTTTACTTTCACTGGCACTGGAAACCTTCAGCGTGTGGAAGGGAAGATGGATTCATTGAAGTATCAGGAAATACTCGAAAATGTCTTGCCGTCAGTGAGGAAGCTGAAGCTTCCAACAAGACAATGATCCGAAGCATACATAAAATTCCACCAAGGCTTTGTTGCAGAAGTAGTCCTGGCAGATCCTACAGTGGCCATCACAGTCACATGAAAATCTCTGGTGCGATTTAAAGGTGCTGTATGTAACTTTTTCACTCTACTTAAGCATAAAAATACCATAAAATGTTTGCATATACGGAGGTAACGTGCTAAGTTCACATACTCGTTTCTATGAAAAACACTTCTAAACCTTCTTTTACTTTGAAATGCGTGTTTCCAGACTGGAATGTTTGTTATTGTTTTGGTCTGTGATGCTACAAGTTGGCAATTTTCATTGTCCATTGCGCTCGTTCCTGTTGGAACGAGCGCAACCCGTGAAACTGGCAACCCGTGTGAGGGCAGTCCAGTCTGAGGAGCAGGTGGCAGGAGAAACCATAGATATCCATAATAAAGGCTAGATGTCACGTCCGCACTG